TCGACTACCTTACTGTTTGATGGACATTTGTCCTTTGCACTGTGGAAACAATAACGCATTTTTAAATTAAACACCTTCTAGATAACATTCGGACCACCAAAGTGTGCCGAAATATCACCCTGGATTAGTTTCAGATTGTACCTCAAAATATACAATTATCTCATGTTACATTTGTACTATAAAGGAGACGGTCAACTGTATAGTCACAATTTACAGTACATTTTGGAAGTTCAACATAGGCCTAACAATCACTGATCAGCAAAGAGCACAAGTGGGTGGATCACTGCCGAACCATCTCTCACCATAAAGAACTTACTTCCACAGTTGTTAACGACTGTGATTATAAACCGTATCATCTATTTTTGCAATTGTTTGTGCTAATGGAAATATTTGCAAAGTATCCAGCCATTTGACTCACTGAGGTTTTGTGGGGACATTTTCTACTTCAACACAATGAGACATAACGAACCACAGGAAGTGCGTTGCTCTAGAAAGTCTTTTAAAAGAGTTTCTCCCCCAATATCTATAAACCCACTGTACTTGTATGTGTCCCAAAATGAGAACTAGAGGTTGTGTAGAGGAACATAAGCTATGTAAACCCAACAAATTATAACAGGGTAGGCGTTGACTTAAAATCATTAACAATACCAGACAAATGGGCATGAACTGTTTTGCCATTTACAATAATCACGTGTTTAAAATATGAATGCAAATTGCCTAAGAGATTGAAGCGTTTTATTCTATAATGTCTTGTCTCCTATTAAAAAGTCTCTTGTTGACAAACTGACGTTTTTATAGGCGCAGTAAAACACCGCATTGTGGATTTGCCGTGAAGAATTTGTGTGTTACTTGTGTTGTATTGTGCGTTTCGACTCAGGATCAACATTGTCAACCAAAGTTTGTATCAAATCAAATTGCATTCATGTGACGCAAGCAACAGAAACTTCCACTTGGCACACACGTGTACATCCTGTCCATCTAAATTGCATTAACGCGCAGCGCACGTGAGAAGCTGGTGCCTAATTTCACCCACCGATGTACACGTAATATCTTTCTTTACGTTGTTGGAACTGGTCTAAGCTTTCTTTAGTGTATTGGGGGTATTACGCATCCTTGACTCCATGATATGGGAACCATATAGGCAACAAAGAGGGCACTGTGTGCAAACGTGTCACGTTGACCAAACGGAAGGGTCGGAAATCTCATTATACGTTGCTCTGCTTGGCTTGAAATGAGTTTGCTTCTAGTTTCTGCTGACACAACTGCAATTTCGCTACCTCAGGTTCAGTTACATGGTTTATCAAATATGCGTACCATTTATGGCATCATACTTATTAGAAACATCTCCAAATTTGGCAAGTTCAGTGAACACAAAATCTCCATACTAAAGACACAGTTGCTACACTTTGTGATTTGGAGAAGGCTTTTGCTAAGTTACGTGAGAGACTCATTGCACCATTACACTGTTTTTGGTGGATATGAAGGTCACAAAGGAACCTGTCCATTCCAGAGATGATGGTTGCTATGCAAAAGCTTGCCCCAAATGACGAGGTATTATACATGTACAGTGTCTTTAATCTAGGGAATTCAAATTGTAATGTTTACATGCAGTCAAATAACACAGTGTACCAAATTTTATTCAAATTTATCTCGAAAAAGTCTTATTACATGTATTCTCATTGAAACCAAAGGTCCTTCCAATAAGAAGCATAATTTGACCTTTTTCAAAAGAGCACCTTTTAATACAGACAGAAATAATTAAGTAACCTAGACACCTGTACATGTAAATGGACATGATCAAGCAGAAGGCCTTACGGGATTGATTCAATTTCCGTGAACAGTAAACAGGAAACTGAAATTAATGAAAGACCGACTTGGCTGATGAAACAGCTTATCCTTTCTCGTGGAGATATTGATCAGCTGAGCTTCAGGTTTGTTGAAATGTCTTGTTTTTCAGTATTTCATTATTTTTTGAAGCAAATTTAAACATTTTGTCATTAAACAGTGTGAAGTATGTTAAGTATTTTTAACAAAACTGAGTTTTATTTCTGATGATTTGCCAGTGACAGATTATCAAGAATCCAATAAAAGGAAACAACACCCGAGTACTGAGGCTTGTGTGAGTTAATATCTAAGGATTGTGCCTGTTTTCGATTTAGTATACAGCTTTATTTGACTTCCTGATGCAACGCCAGCACTATTCAAGAACATTCATGGGAATTTGGCACAAGATTGTTGGAATGTGTCCCAAAATATTGTACAATTGTGTCATGTAATGGGAGGACGCCCTCACTTGTATCGGACCATCCAACGGTTGTTCAAACAGTGTGAAATTACATAACTAGGACATGAAATGTTATCATTTCATCACGAAGACTGTGTCAAATGATTAGCTTAACCCTTAATTGGCTACACTGGACTGATTATGTTCTTCAACTGGCATGAGAGTTAATTAACAGAAAGTAGCAGGAAGTTACGTTACTGAAGCAGCAATTTCACAAGGCTATTGCCATGAGGATGGAATTGAAATGATGTAGATTTACACAAAGAATTGATGTAAATTTGCGGTATGGCTGCCAAATTTTTACAAGTCATCGATGAAGAAGCTGGGCAGCTTTACAACAGCTGGGCCGTTATTTGTTTGTCTGTAATTCAACGGGGTGTGTGTGTAATTTTAAAGTACCTATTTTTTTTTTTTTTGCGGGATGGTACTGGCGTCCAAACTGCCTGGAATTCCCGTAAAAAACGATTTAAAAAATTGCAACCGCAAATAAAGGCATGTGTACACACAGACAGTATACGGTGTGATGTACATGTACACACAGACTTCATACCGATCGTTGGTTCTTTGACGAGAACGCCCTCTATTTACAATAATTATGCAACAAGCACACGGTGCGCCCGGTATACACGTAGTTGCAATTACTGCCAAGAACGTCTTGGAACCACGGTTACCCTGCTATCACTCAGCATATATTATACATTGGGCAATATCCAGCTTGAATCAATACAAGACAGTCCATCTTGCCTTACGGTACTCTATAACAATGCAGATCCAAACAGTTTTGGAAGATCAATTTCAGTTGATCCCGTGATTTAATTTGACCAGTAGGTATTTAGCAAATGTTACAACAAGATTAAGAGAACAGCTCTATTTAAAAGCTAATGCAAGCTCTTCAGTCTCTGTTTAGAAACAAATGGAAAATAATGTTGTCATGCACTTGATTTTTAAATAAAAACATTTAGCTCATTTAACAAAATGTCCAGCAGAAGTTTCCCCGTTTGGAAAATATGCGAAAGAAATTCGTCTTTTGCGACTGTCACGACAAAAAGCCTCTCTTTTCTTGACTTTTAAATCATTAATAACTGAAGGACTTTTGGACGATTAAACTGTGTTTTTCCCATCAAGTAAACAACGTCTTTTCTTGGCTACATATACGACGTCTCAAAGGTAGAAAACACGTCGTTTCGTCGTTGGAAAATGACGTCGTTTTTAGTTGTCTGAAAAAGACGTCTTTTGGTTTGGCAAAATGAGAGGCACCAATCGTTGCGTATCCGTCAGAATACCGACGGCTTTGACGGCCGAACGCAAAGCACTCTTGTGCTATGTTAATGGTTTAGATGTTTGTATCTGAGAAAGTAAAATGCCTGAACGCATCGTCTTTGCCACGCACTAAAAAGTACATAATGGAAAGGCGCCTTGTGACACCAGTAATTGGCATGGATAAGCCGTCTTATAGACGTCATGTGGTCGTGGAAGAAAACCCCCAGAATCAAAAACCAATGAACAAGATTTACATCTGCTCCCCCTCCCACTAAATGGTTCTGGATCCATCCACGGAAACTGTCAACACGTGTGACAGAAGTGTCAGTGAAGTGAAGGCAGAATAGCCCCGGAACCTAATGAGAAATGCTCTGAGGGCCCCTTGAAGGACACTTTATTACAAGTTTATATAGAGCCACGATCTATTTATTCTGAAGGAAGAAACGAAAGAGAAGGTGGAAAGCAGAACTGTTTTGACAGACCTCTCATTATTTTGCCTTTTTCATTTGTTAGCATTTAGAGGAGTTGGGAAGCACTTTGTTATGAGTTTCACTTTTGCTCTCGTTGATGTCAATGCTGGTAAGATTGCAAGTAAGAATAACCAGGCTAGGTAGAATTCTTTCATGTCATTCCCAGTGCAGTTTGTACAAGAGCCTGAAGTGTACGTTCAATAATATATTTTTTTCCAAATTGGTTTCTACCAGATCTAAAGTTAGAAGCTGTATTTTCTACTTTTGAAAAAAAAAACGTAAAAAAAGACATTTATGATAGGAATGAGCTTTGGAAAAACATATCTCATGAAATCGACTTGGAAAGAAAATATCTCTTGTTCAAACGATATTTTTCTCGAATTTGAAACAATGTTTCTTAAAATAAATAATTTTAACAACGATT